TAATAAACCTACTCCTGCTTAATTCTCCTCTATGTCCATCCTTAATTCTTTTCTCTGAGGAGACCAAGAACTTGCTAGCCCCCAGACTCAGAGACCCAAATCATGTCACAGGCCCACCTAAATAACCCAAAATACTCTCTGCATTCCAGCGTCCTTAAACTTAATCACATCAGCACATTTGCATAGTTCCTTTTGCTATGTAAAATGGCAGTCTCGTTTTCTTGAGTAGGGATGTGGCTGTTTGGGAGGTTATCATTTCTGTCCACAAAGTAAAGAAAGCAGCAGCATCTTTAGGGATAACTGAAATGAGAATTTCTCAAGTGGTTTCTGAGGGCTCTGGAACAGCTGAAACATTATGGAATATGAGCTAAAGACAGCCTGGAGGAGCATTAGTCATTCATGTGCTGAGAAGTTGTGCCCTGAGGACTTCCAGGAGTGAAGGGTTTTAAAGTGTGGATAAGAACTGGGACTGGAATGATGTCTCTTGCTTGAGTTCCATGACCAGGATAGGATGGACATAGGTCTTGAGGTTTTCAGTTGGCTATAGAATTAGAATTGCTATTTCACATTTACATCCACAAGTGTCATTCTAGTTGAACTGTGGGAATGTGAAGAAAGAAGAGGATTCTGGGAATTCAGGCCTGCCTGAAATATGCATCAAGGACAGTGCTTGAGAGGTTTGGAGACTGGAAGTGGCTAGGAGGAAGGCAGGAGTGGATCACATTAGGAATGGTGTAGAGGGACAGAATGCCAGTGAAGACAGACGCAGGGAATGAGGCTAGATAAGCTCACCTTGATGGCCAAAGCCCCTTGAGAGCGTGACTCAGATATGATTCATAGCTATGTGCCCATCCTGTGGAGTTCAAGACAGGCTGGAATGATTAGTGAGCAGTGACTGGGTGAAGCCAAATCACTGGGGCCCTTTCTGAACTGGGCTCCAGGTATTACAGAGATGTTATTTGGAGGATTTAGGCTCTCACATTCATGATGCAATATATCTCACTGTCTTGGATTCTTTTTTTTGTTGTTGTTATTGTTGGTCATGGGGCCTGAACTCTGGGACTGGGCACTGTCCTCAGCTCTTCAGTTCAAGGCTAGCACCTTACCACTTGAGCCACAGCGACACTCCCAGATTTTTCTGCTTATGTGGTGCTGAGGAATGGAATCCAGGGCCTCATGCACACTATACAAGCACTCTACCACTGAGCCAACTTCCCAGCCCTGTCTTGGATTCTTTTCCACAGTCCATTAGCTGTTTCAGGTGCCAATGAATGTGTGTTAAAACCATGCAGCAAAAGCTGGGCTCCAGTGCTCAACCTATAATCCCAACTACTCAGGAGGCCTAGATCCGAGAGTCATGGTTCAAAGTAACTCAGGCAGAAAAGTTTTTAAGATTCTATCTCCAATTAACCAGCAAAAAGCCAGAAGTAGAGGTGTAGCTCAAGTGGTAGAGTACTAGCCTAGAGCAAAAAAGCTAAGGCAGAGCTGAAGGCTCTGTCACCAAAACAAAACAAAACAAAAACAAAAAAAACAAAACCCCAAAACAAACATGTTGTAATAGAAATACAGGGGAAACAGGAAAAAGGAAAAGTTGACCAAGTCCCACAAGTAACTAGAGTTCCTATATGCCTTGTAAAATACTATCAAACAGAATAATTCCTTTTTGAAAAGTTCATCTTCTGCATGGCTTCATGATCTTCTTTAACCCTCTTCCAGAGAAACCTATATGTTTAAAAACAACAACAATAAAAACCCAGATGGTACTGGATGCCAGTGGTTCATGCCTGTAATCCTAGCTACTCAGGAGGCTAAGATCTGAGGATTGCAGTTCAAAGCCAGCCCTGGCAGGAAAGTCCATGAGACTCTAATCTCCAATTAACCACCAAAAAGCCAGAAATGAACAAGAGGTTTTTTTCTTTGTTGTTTTTGCTTTGTTTGTTTGTTTGTTTTTTGTTTGTCTGTTTTGGGGAGTGTAAGAGGAGGGCATAGAAATGGAGGGATAACAAGAAAACTGGAAGTGGTGCTGTGGCTTAAGTGGAAGAGCCCAGGCCCAGAGTTCAAGCCCTGTGACTGACAAAAACAACAACAAGAAAGAAAGAAAGACAGAAAGAAAGAAAGAAAGAAAGAAAGAGAGAGAGGGAGAAAGGAAGAAAAAGAAAGAAAGGGAGGGATAAAGAGTGAAAAAATAAATGTAGCAGAGCTACATTAGAGCTCACCTTGATGGCTAAAGCCCCTTGAGATCAGGACTCAAGTATGATTCATAGCAAAGTGCCCAGCCTGTAGGGCAGACTAGACATTATGTTGAAAATGAACTATATAACTTGTGGGTGGGGACGGGAGGGAAAAACTGGGAGAGAGTAAGGGAAAAAGTGGCATTGTCCAAAAAGAAATGTATTCATTACCTGATTATGTAACTGTAACCCCTCTGTACATCACCTTTATAATAACAAAAAATGTATTTACAAAAAAAAGTTTTTTTTTAAAGCTAGAAGTGGATCTGTGGTTCAAGTGGTAGATCACTAGTCTTGTGCAGAAAAAACTCAGAGACAGTACTTAGGTCCTGAGTTCAAGCTCCAGGACCAGCACAAAAAAACCCAATCAAGGTGTTGGAGGCATGGTTCAGCTGGTAGAACACTAGCCAATGAACAAAAGTGTCAGGTATGGCGTTCAAGACCCAGTCTCAGGTGAAAAAATAAAAATAAAAAGAACTCTAGGGGTGGGGATGTAGCTTAGTGGCAGAGTGCTGGCCTAGCGTGCTTGAAGCCCTGGGTTAGCTTTCTCAGTACCACACAGCCAGAAAAGGCCAGGAATGGCACTATCATTCAAGTGGTAGAGTGCTAGCCTTGAGCAAAAGAAGCTCAGGGGCTCTTGCCCAGGCCCTGAGTTTAAGCCCCTGGATGCTTCCCCTCTCCCTCCCCCACAAACAACAACAACAACAAAACCCAGGAGAGAGACTCAGACTCAGTAGCACAGAGTAGTTTTCCCTAGGTTGTCAGCTGGAGGATAGAAGGGCTAATGTGCTGACTTCAGCCTCTAGATTGTATTTCTGTTTCCATCTAATTATGATGTTCTGTTTTCATCTCCATTTTAGCCCACTTATCTGCCTTTCCCCTGTGAAGCTTCTGAGATATGCCATCCTAATCTTCCACTCAGCCTTACTCAAATGTTGCCTTGTATCCTATATCATGTGCTTATCTATGGTGGTTCTTATACACTAACACATATACCTGGCTTGCTATCTGAACAGGAGCTAGAAGCATCAAGATGTGATTTGAGGTTTGTTTGCAGCCAATTGCACTTCTTTGAAAGGATGTATGCCATATTACTTCATTTTGTGAGACAAGGCTGTTGTGTTCACCATTATAGATATAATGTGTGGCTTATCACAGAGGCTGAATAAGTTTATCTCTGGGCTTTGAAAGGAGGAAAAGGGTATGGGTTGGAGTTGGGAAAGGGTGTGGACTGTGGCGATTGGATTGCTTTCCTTCTTGGTTGTTGGGGTGTGGGTTGTGGAAATTGGATTGCTTTCCTTCTTGGTTGTTATTCAGATCTCTGCCATCTGGCAGTGAAGCGGTCTTTAGTTGCAGTCTGTGGTCTTGTCCCTAAGGAGTTATGGATGCACTTAGTATTCTAATAAGTTCACAGTACTTCTCAAAGTTTGAACTCATGTAAAGAATTCTGGAATCTTATATACGTGGGAGAAAATGATGGGAGGAAGAAGCTGGAGAAGGAAGAAGGAAAAAGAGGTATCTCAGAAAATCAGGGCTGATCTAGTTTTTGTGTTACTGCTTGTTTATTCCTAGTTTGGGGTGTGTGTGTGTGTGTGTGTGTGTGCGTGCGTGCGTGTGTGTGTGTGTTTCTGCACAGCTGTACTTTCCCAAGGCCTACATATATCTGAGCTCAGGAATATAGTTTCTGTGGGCATGCCTGATTTCAGGATAAACAGCGTGAACATGCCTGTAGCATATGGATATGATAGGGTTGTGGCCTGAAACCCTGAGCCCCATTACAAGTATTCTCTATATTGTGTCTCACTGTAACAATTGCTCATTAAATTCCAGGCCTGGCAGCATATGGTTTCTCCCAACATCCTTCTCATTAAATGGAAACTTTAGCTGTGTGGTTAGAATATTTTCCCATCATTTAGCACTTCAGAATTAACGTATTTTGGAGAATTCTGTAATTAGTACTGAAGGCACAATTGCAAAGAATAGAGAAACAGTTAAACCCAAGTTGGTAGATCAGGAACTAACTCCCATGACGGATAAGGTGTATGCTAAGAAAGGATGGGGTCAACAGGAGGATTTGGGACTCCTCTGTGGCTGCTGTAATTAAAGTGGGAAGATGGGCTCAGTTGTTAGCCCCACTTTTAAGAGTACAGATGGCTAATAGCCACATCACTGCAAGTTAAGAGTTAGACTTTTAAGGCCTTTTTTTTTCTTTTTCTTTTATGACCCACCCTGTGTATTCCAAGCATAGGTATGGGGGCAGTGAAGAATTTTCTCATTAAAAGTAACGGCTTATTCCCACACTCATTCTCAGTCTTGGGGTAAAAAACCGGTTTCCTTAGACTTGAGGAATTGCCTATCTGTCCTAGCTTAATAGAGCTTTCTGATGAGGGTTTCTGGTAGGTGAATTTTATGACCAATCAGTGTTCAAAGTGGATCCAAGTGGAAGGGCTCCAGTTGGCAGGCCTGGTCTCTCTTCCAGTTCTACTTCTAATGAATTCTTTAACCCCTAAACATAGAGCAGCCTGCCACTGTTGTCTTAGGAGAAGTTAGTGCTCGTGATTCCCATAGCCTGGAAATTAGGACTCTTTTGGGGTTTGAGGGTGTTTGGCAACTAGGGTCTTGGAATGAATGCAAGGAGTAGTGGTTGATACTCAGGGACTGGTGTGACCAGGGGTCTCTGCCCTGCTAAATGGGCCTACACTCCATGGGATTCGGGGCTGCAGTAGTTGGTTGGCTTCACTTTGCAACATGTGTCTTGTTTTCCCACAGGGAGTGGGGTCCGCCAGCAGAAACAGTGGGCTGCACAACATCACCTTCAGATATGACAGTAAGTAACTGGTTTCACCATGAAGGATGAAACTGTCCGTAGTATAGCTTACACACTGTACTTAATCAAGTTCAAGCATTACAGGTCCTGAGGCTCCAGAATTTTCTGATCCTGTTCAGGTTGGTCAACAGTTAATGCAGCTCATGAAGTCCTGTTTAAGCCATTGCAGTATTTGGGAGCTTAAACAGGTCAAATGTCTTCCAGAGTATTCAGAAACATTCCATAGGAAGATCTTCCCTGAGTTTCTCAGCACATAGCTTTGTCCCTAAGGACAAACATAGTTGGGTTAGTAGGGCTCAGCAGAGGGCAAAGCTGCCCAAAATGCAGGGCTGTAGGAAATGGGGTAACCTAAATCTGGTTTGCAGTGGGCATTTTTTCACTTCAGCTCATGGTAGTCTTGAAGAATTCCCATGGAGTACAGCCAGATGTGTTTTTCAAGAATAGCCAAACAGAATGGGCACTGTGACTCATGCCTATTATCGTAGCTACTCAGGAGGCTGGGATCTAAGGATTGCAGTTTAATACCAATCTGGGAACACAAATCCAAGAGACTTGTTTGCCAGCTAACTACTAAAATACCAGAAGTAGAGCTGTGACCCAAGTGGTAGAGGGCCAGCCTTGAACAGAAAAAGCTAAGGTACTGGGGTCTGTGTATGCATGCATGCTTGTGTGCATGTGTGCACACACACACAGACAGAATAGCATTTTCTGTGAGCATTTAAAAATATTGACATTTATTTAAACTTTTTTCCAAACACAGCGCACCAGGTGAATCCAATGTTCCATTTTAGCCCAGGGGTCTCCAGCTAATCATTTCTGACTTAGATCTAGGTTCCAACTGGAATTCCTCATCTAATTTTGTGAGCGGTGGCAGGTATCTTGACTTCTCCATGCTTCAATTTGCTAATTGAAAAAAAAAAATAGAGGCCAGGTGCTGGTGGCTCATGCCTGTAATTCTGTGTACTCAGGAGGCTGAGATCTGAGGATTGAAGTTTGAAGCCAACCCAAGCAGGATTAACCAGCAAAAAGTCAAAAATAGAGGTATGGCTCAAGTGGTAGAACATCAGCCTTGAGCAAAAAAGGTAAGGGATAGTGCCCAGGCCCTGAGTTCAAGTCCCAGAACTGGCGTGTGCACACACACACACACACGTGCACGCAAGCACACACACACACACACACACACACACACACACTTCCTTCTCCTAACATCATTTTAAGGCTTAGATGAGGTAATGTTTACACCTGCTCAACTTGGTGGTTGGCCTATAGTGTATGTTTTTAAATGTTATTAATTCATATTAGAGATCAATCCAACTGAGGTTGAATACAAGTAACTTGTTTGCCTTTTTTCTTAACAAAGAAACTTTTTTTTTCTGGCTAAATTTTTTTCTAAGGATAAGATTAAGGATACTTTTTCTGATTAACTATATAGGACTTTTTACTAAGTAGCTGCTTTTATTTATATGAAAAGGTTTGTATTTAGTGGCCATAATTTATATTTTAAAATGACAGGAGGGAGTTCGACTCTTATTTGATGACTCCTAATACCTGATTCAGCTCTTAGAGAGCTGATTGACTGGGGGCTTAGATTACATGGAGGCCTCTATAATTATCAATACCAAGACAGGATTTTCAAGGTCATAAATTGCAATTGAAGATACAAATGTGTATGTCAGGTTCACACTTGTGGTTGCTGGATTGAGCATCTTTTTAAAGCATGACCCACATGTGCCATTAAGGCATTTTATGATAGTAATGTGTGTGTGCTCTGGTAAGTGCCATAATGGTAATGAAAGATTTGTAAGTCCATGATACTTGATTCAGCTAAGTAAAGACATGTGTAAAGAATCATTGTTTGAGTTAGAAGGTTAATTTCTAATATATTCTTTTGGTCCTGGCAGATCTTGTATTACATTCAAGAGTTCAGAATTTTCTGGTCAACTACAAATAAGCATTTGCCTCTAATTTAACATAGGTTTCGTGAAAAAGTATCTAAATCTGTAAAAAGTATCTATTGTCTTCATTATACTAAATTTTTAGCCATGTGCCATTGCCTGTCTATTACTCATTACTTTCTTCTTAATTCTCCACCATTTATTTAATTAGAACTTAATTCACAGCTTGTATTGACTCCTGAAATATTTGAAACTCAGTTTGGCAAGACATCATTTAAGCATGAAGTTTTTGGTAATCAGAATCCAAAACTATAGACTTATTAATAATTATAGATGCAGGCTATATTAAGAAAATATATCCAGTATTTTGCAATGAAAAAGATCTTTCTTTCAAAAGGAAGTTCTTGTTATTGCTCAATTGACTGTTTACTAGTTCTGTTTTAAATAACTTGGAACCAATTACCAAGTTTTCACCAAAATTACTAAACTATAAAATTATAAAAATCTTTTGTGTGTGTGTAGACGCACGCATGTGCATGTATGTGTGTGTGCATGCTAGTCTTAGGGCTTGAACTCAGAGCCTGGGTACTGTCCCTAAGTTTTTTCCTCAAGGCTACTGCTCTACCATTTGAGCCACAGTTGCACTTCTGGCTTTTTTGGTAGTTCTTAATTAGAGACAACAGGCTGCTGATGTACTTGCCTGCTTGGCTGGCTTTGAGTGGTGATCCTCAGACTCAGCCTTCTGAGTAACTTGGGTTATAGGTGTGAGCCACCAGTACCAATCATAAAAATCTTTTTGTTGTTTTATGTAGCCCAGGCTGGCCTTGAACTCTCTTCTACCTCAGCCTCTGGGGTACTGAGATTATAGGTGTGTACTACCAACCTGATTTTTCTATTTCTTTGTCATTTAATGGTATGAAGGAAGAAAACATCTTTCCATTAAGTCATGAATGAATTTTACAAGTCTCCTTGCCTCTCATGACCCAGCATATCGCATTTCTCCTTTAGTCTCTTGAGGGGGTATACCTAAGTAGGTTATACTACATTTTTTTAAATTCTTAGACTTTCTTTGTATTTGCATAATTGTATTTATAGAAACCCAAAGACTGTTACTTTTGACATTAGAAATGAACAAAGATGAAAATGTCCAGTGATTCCTTTTTATGTATCTTTTCAAAATGAAGTGTTTTCTTATATTACAGCCCTGAATAAATGAAAATACTGGGACTTTTACAAGTAGAATAGGATCTTGTGTTTTTTGGGGGAGGAAGCCAGTCTCAACTGGGTTTTTTGTAGACTGAACACAGACAGAACTTCTAGGAGTAATAATATACTCTGTACAAATGGCCAGATATAGGACCCCCAGAGGATTCCCTGGGCCAGTCAGTGGTAGGGTCCTAGGACCCCTACTTGATCCCTTGTGACAATAATTCCCTCATTTGCACAATGTGAATGTTAAATGAGATGGTGACATTTTCCTTCATATCCCAAATTTCTCTTCTGCAGTCAGAAAATACAAGGTGATTGCTTTGAGAGTAAATTTTAACCAGAAGTAGAATTTGGTTTTATTATTAACATTCTTTCAGTTGAAGAAATAGTAAAGTATAAGTGTAACCTTTTGAAGTCAAGACTTTGAACATTAGCTTGGCTTTTTCCTCAAGGCTGCCTCTACTACTGAGCCACAACCAGCTTTTTTTTTTTTTCCCCTAGCTAATAGGGGATAGAGTATTGCAGACTTTTTTTTTTTGCTAGGGCTGGTTTCAAACTTTGATCTTCAAATCTCAGCCTTTTGAGTAGCTAGGATTATAAGGTAAGATCCACAAGCACCTACCTGGTAATATGACTGTTTTTAAACCTAATTGGAGCTTAGGGAAGGGAGTGTATATAATGTGGTTAGGCCAGAAATCAGGACACAAGAAACTGGGGATGGTGGAGTTATAAATGGGGGTGTAGCCAGGCACCAATGGCTCATACCTGTTTATAGTTACTCAGGAGGTTGAGATCTGAGGATTGCAGTTCAAAGCCAGCCAAAGAAGGAAAGTATATAAGACTCTTATTCTAATTAACTACCAAAAAGCTAGAACTAGAGCTGTGGCTCAAGTGGTAGAGTGCTAGCCTTAAGCAAAAGAAACTCAAGAACTGTGTCCAGGTCCTGAATTCAGGCTCCAGAACTGGTGCATGCATGTGTGCTTGTACATGCACGTGCGCATGTGCGTGCACACATGCGCATACACATACACACATACCAAGTGAGGATGCAATCTAGCATATAGATACTATGCTTCAACAAGAGAAAAAAAGGAATTTTATGTACATGCTAAATGGGTTGGAAAAGGGATCAGTAAAATGTTGATTACACAGTTACCTGCATGTGGTAATAGACTGCAGATGACTTTTACATTATTTTGATTTTCTATTCCTTTGTATTTTTCAAATATCTCCAATGGACATTTAGGTTATAAACATGAAGAACGTATAATGCAGTTTCTTAGAAATGTCTTGTAGGCCAGGTGCTGGTGGCTCATGTCTTTAATCCTAGCTACTCAGGAAGCTGTCATGTGAGGACTGCAGTTCAAAGCCAGCCTGAGTAGGAAATCCGTATCGCCAATAAACCACCAGAAACAAAACAAAATGGAAGTGGCACTGTAGCACAAGTGGTAGAGTGCTTGTCTTGAGCTGAAGAGCTGAGGGACAATGCCTGGGCCCAGAGTCAAGCCACGACCAACCAAAAAAAGAAAAAAGAAATATCCTGTAGATGTCTCACCCCTAAAAAGTCCGCCTTGCACCAGTGGCATACCATACAGGTTTGGACCTTTGATGGCACAAAGACCTTTTGAAACAGATAACTAAGGAAGCTGTTTTCATGGGCTCCTTGAGAAAAAAAAAAAAGCTAGAGAGGAGGCAGCTTGAGAATGAGCCACTATCTTCTGGGAATGGCCAGGGTTTTTTGTTTGTTTTTTTCCCTGCAAGAGTGGATAGAATAGTAGTGCTATCATACTCTGAAATCTCAGCCTGATACTGACTGCTAGCTTTTGGCAATTTTTTAGGTGTGTTTAGCAGTCCCAGATGGTGCAGGTGCTTACACAGTTGTGAGTAATGGCCTCAGACCAAAGAAGATAGATTTTGTGTTTTTGAACAGTGGAAGGCTTTTTGGATTTTGTGGGGATGGTGGGTATCTTTGAAGATATATGGCTTTTGGAAACAAAAGCTTTGCCTTTTGAATGCTGATAAGCATCCTTACCTCCTAGTCAGTCGGGTGTTGGTACTGTCAGCAGGTGTTGGTACTGTCAGCGTAGTTAACAGTCTGGTTGTGAGTCCCTTCAGTGCAGATTCATATCTACGTATCAGTTCCTTCCACCCTCCAAATTTACTCTAAAAAAACAAGCAAATTACTTACCAGTATTTTCCTCCAGATAACTCTTCAGTGCTGAAAATTGTTTGAACTGATGCAAATATTTACTGATTTACATAAAATGTTACAAGAGTTAAAAAGAAGTTATTGCTAGACACACAAATGATACATTGTATATGACCCTTCTAATACTATGCTGAAATTTAACTGGGGGAGGGTAAGTGGTGGTAATGGTCTACAAACAAATCACTCTGCTGCATATTTGTGTGTGTACTGGGACTTGAACTTAGGACCTCAGACTCTCTTTTGACTTTTTACATTCAGAGCTATCTCTCTACCATTTGAGCCATGCTACTTTGTGTGTGTGTGTGGTGTGTGTGTGTGTGTGTGCCAGTTGTGGGGCTTGAACTCTGGGCCTGGGCGCTGTCCCTCGGCTCTTCAGCTCAAGGAGAGCGCTCTACCACTTGAGCCACAGTGCCACTTCCAGCTTTTTCTGCTTATGTGGTGCTGAGGAATCGAACCCAGGGCCTCATGCATGCAAGGCAAGCACTCTACCACTGAGCCACCTTCCCAGCCCATGCTACTTTTTTTTTTTTGAGCAACTTTTTACTGGTTAATTGGAAATGAAATTCTTATGGATTTTTATGCCCAGGCTGACTTTGAAGTGTGGCCCTCAGATCTCAGCCTCCTGTTTAACTAGGATTACAGCCGTGAGCCACCAGTGAGTGCCCCAGTGTGCTTCATCTTATAGTTTCCCCAACAGTAGTCAACTTTTTTTTTCTCCCTCTCCATGAGTCTTCCTGCCCTCTAATAAAGTACCTCCTTTGTCTCATTTTTACTTTTCTTTTCCTTTCTTTTTTTGTCGGTCATGGGGCTTGAACTTTGGGCGAGGGCACTGTCCCTGTGCTCCTCAGCTCAAGGCAAGCGCTCTACCACTTGAGCTATAGCTCTACTTCTGGTTTTCTAGTGGTTTATTGGAGATAAAGAGTCTCATGGAGTTTCCTGCCTGGGCTGGCTTTGAACCATGATTCTCAGAACTCAGCCTCCTGAGTAGCTAGGATTACAGGCTTAAGCCACCGGTGCCCAGCTCAGTAGTCAACTTTTAATGTCGTATTTGGGCTTTCCAAGAAAATAATCTTTTTTATTTTTATTTTTTGATCATAGGGCTTAAAATTGGAGTCTGGTACCTCTGAGCTTTTTCTCTCAAGACTAGTGCTCTACCACTTTGAGCCACAGTACCACTTCTACTTTTCTGGTTTTCAGTTGAAGATTGTCCAGGTTGGCTTCAAACCGCGATCCTCAGATCTCAGCCTCCTGAGTAGCTAAGATTACAGGTGTGAGCCACCAGCATCCAGCAGGCAAATAGCTTTAAATAACATGTTCTGTGTAGCTTGGTAAGATGAAATGGAAAGTAAAATAAAAATTTAACTGTTCTTATTGTCCCAACTCTCCAGACTGTACTACCTACATGAATCCATTGGGGAAGCATGCGATTGCTGATGCCCAGAACATCACAATCAGCCAGTACGCTTGCCACGACCAAGTAGCAGTCACCATTCTTTGGTCCCCAGGGGCCCTAGGTATGTGGTAAGTCAGCTCCACTGTGGTAAGCTGGGTGAGCTGGGGTGTGTGTAAGCCACTAGTCAAGCAGGACTTGATGAGAGGAAGCTGACATTGGGTTGGGCATTTGAACACTTGGTTCTTAGTTGTACTCACTTGCTAGACAGCCTCTCTGTGGCTCTTCTTTTGTTTCCTTGATCATGATTGAGTTAGGAGTTTGATAAATAATAGTGTGTGATTGATAGCACTGAGGCCTTGGTCTCTATAACTGGAGGGAGGGGGGGGCAGTGCCGGGAGAGGCTGTGGTCCATCTAAGGACATAAATGTCTTTGGCATTCAGGATGCTCTGTGGCCACAAGGACATGTAGGCCCAGTATTGGCACATTTTGTAATTTTTCAGGAAAAACCTGGTTTCCATGAGAAACCATGAAATTAATTAATTTGTAAGTTGGCTAAAAAATGAAATTTTATTTATACTGTGCATCTCCTTCTCCAAAACAATCAAGAAAACAGAAATAAATCAAACACATCTTACCTAGCAGGATTACAGTTGGCTAACTCTTTCCCCTTGAGTGAATTGTCAATACCTAGAAGAAGAAAAGATCGTTCAACTAGGCTTGGGTTTTCCAAGAAGTAGCCTTTTCTTTTTTGAGGGGCAAGTCACATTTTCTAACCTACACTGGCTGTGAACTTGCAAGCCTTCTATTACTGATACGTTCTACCATGACCGGCTTGAATCCACCTGTCATACAAGGCACTTAGAGGCAAGCCTTATAGAGTCCAAGCTTTTTTATCTACTGTGGGGTGATCATGGTCCATTGAGAGCTATCGGAGAACAATTACTAGAGCTATCAGAACCTGGGCCTCAGACCTATAGCTCTGACATTGCCACCAATCTTAGAGCCCCAGCCAGAGGGAAGTAATATAAAGGCAGAGACTTTTTCATTTGAACAGGAGAAATCTCAGAAGAACCAGATTGAGGTTAAGAGCAGTCTATGGGCCCTATTTATCTGTCCATGTAAATACTTCTGGGCATGCACCCAATAGGTTTTCAAAAAATAATACCATTTTAACATTTAAAGATTAAAAAAAATTCTCTGTGGATAAAAGGTCAATCCATGTAATGCTTAAGTGGCTAAAACTTAACTGGCTAAAACTTGGTCTAAGGAATTGCAGGCTTCCTCATTAGAGAGAGACATGAGCTGATGATGAAGACTTACATACAGGATGGTTAGGACAGAAGGCTGGGGTCAATGGATAAGTCCTGTTAGTTTCTATCAGGTTCTATGGGAAACTCTTTGGAAGGTAGGAAAACTGCTGGGTAAAGGCACTGACAGAGCCAGATAAACTGCAGAGCTCAAATCCTATGTCTGCCATTTTATTCCTTTGTGATCCTGGACTGGCCAGTCAGTTGCTCTAAAACTTAGCTTCTCAATTTTTTTGTACTGTGGCTTGAACTCTGGGCCTTGCACTTTCCCTTAGCTTTTTCACTCAAAGCTGCTACTTTACCACTTGAACCATACTTTCACTTCTACCTTTTTGATGGCTAGTTGGAGATAAGAATATGTCTGCTAGCTGGGCGCTGGTGGCTCACGCCTGTAATCCTAGCTACTCAGGAGGCTGAGATCTGAGGATCGAGGTTCAAAGCCAGCCCGGGCAGGAGAGACCGTGAGACTCCTATCTCCAATAAACCACCAGAAAACCGGAAGTGGCGCTGTAGCTCAAGTGGTAGAGTGCTCGCCTTGAGCTGAAGAGCTGAGGGACAGTGCCCAGGCCCAGAGTTCAAGTCCCACAACCGACAAAAAAAAAGAATATGTCTGCTTGTGTTGTCCTTGAACCTAGGTTCTTAGAGCTTAGCTTCTTGAGTAGTCTGATTACAAGCTGGTGAGCTACCAGCATTCTCCTCATCTGTAAGTGGGAATATTTGTACCTTTCTTCTGTGGTTGCTAGGAGGAGTTACTAAGCTTAAATGATGAGAGAGAGAGAAAGTACACACAGAATGTCCCTTCAGTAGAGATTGCTTTGTAAGATTGCTACTTACATAACTTCTAGGAGGTAATATCCCTGTGATACAAGATTTAGATTTGCTGCTCCTATTTTCAGCCCCAGATTTAGCATCATGGTATTTAGTCTGGATTTAAAAAATGAGACTAGAACCACACAGGCTCACCCCAACTGATCAGTTATTAAGTACTTGTGAGGTACTTGGCCTTTAATCACACCAGTAACCCAGCTATTGTTAAACAATAGTTCTGTGAGCATTGTACAAATTCAATAGTAAGGTTTTTTTTCTAAGTCTTTTACTTCCCCTTCTTAATCTCAAAAGGCAAAAATCTTCTGAGATCTAATAAATCAGTTGGTCCAAAGTTCTTGTATCTTCTCATCACATGTGAATCTCTGGCTGTGGGTGTGCTGGCTGTCAAATCACAGGAAGCTCTATGATTGAGGAACAGCGTGGCTAGTTAGTTAATTCTTGTTTATTGTAGAATTCTGTACCTTTAAAATAAGAGGCTCTAATTATGGAGCTGCTCTACACTATACACCATGAAATGTGTGCTCTTCATCAAATAATTATAGGATTTGGATAATGTACTCAAAAAGCATTTCCCTGGCCTTTGCCATCAACAGTTTTCCCACCTGGTTAATTGCATCCTGTGTCATTACTTTTGCCCTAGGAGGGGAAGAGTTGAAAATGTCTCCTTGTCTAGTGTTCAGAAAGAATGTGAAATCGATATCTTGCCAATTGAGGCCAGCTTTGGGGATCTCCAGCTGCAATTGAATCATTCTAGTCTCCAAGGGATACAGAACCCTGGTGCTGGCTCTTGTGGCCATCAAAGCTTAATCCTTTTGAAAGCATCTAGTGGGACTTGAAGCGGGGGACGTTCAGAGGGGAAGTTCAGGTAGCTAGAGGCTGAGTTGGTGCCTTTGACCAGCACTGTGGGCATCTCAGGGCCTCTGAGGGCTGTATGAAGAGCCCACAGGGCAGCCCTTGGGTGTCTGCCTTTCAGGCATGATTAGAGCAAGAACTGCTTTGTAAATAACATTGGCATTCTCCTAAATGATTTAATCTCAAACCTAGACACCCCTTGAGTGCAGACATACACTTTGTTGTGAATTTGCTCAATCAGTGAGTGAAACATGCCAAAAAGAGAGAGCCAAAACTTAAAGTTGAAACATGGCATTCAAGCATTCCCTAGTTAATACTGGAAGTTATTCTCAGCTGAATGCCCCTGCTTAGTGACCTATGAATTATATAGTCTACTGTAGGCTTTTATGATCAACTGTGATTCCAGCCTAGTATCCCAGAGGCAATGAGTATTTGTAAAATGTCTAGGTAGACCAGACATTAATTATATAAGCAATGGTGAGACAGAGGAAATCACCTGGCATGTCCCAGAAAAATGCTGGGAATGCACTTTACCATTGTGTGAACTCAGACATTCTGAACACAGTAAGAAGTCCTTTACCTCTGATGTGTGGGTGGAGAGAATGGTAACCTTGGAGGAGGAAAAGTGTGTTCAGAAGTAATTAGGTCCGCTTTTCATAAAAGCATTCTGCTTTGCCTAGGCATCGAATTCCTAAAAGGATTTCGAGTAATACTGGAGGAACTGAAGTCTGAAGGAAGACAGTGCCAACAACTGATTCTAAAGGACCCCAAGCAGCTGGATAGTAGCTTAAAAAGAACTGTAAGTCAAGGGCTGGGAAGGTGGCTCAGTGTAGACTGTTTGCCTTGCATGCATGAGGCCCTGGGTGTGAACTCAGCACCACACAAGCAGAAAAAGCCGCAAGTGGTGCTGTGGCTCAAGTGGTAGAGCGCTAGTCTTGAGCTGAAGAGCTGAGGGTCAGGGCCCAGTCCCAGAGTTCAGGCCCATGACTGACAAAAAAAAAAAGAAAAAAAAAAAAGAAAAGAAAACTGTAAGTCACACCCAGAAAATGTGCTTCTGAAGACCTGCCATTGTTCCTGGGGTCTGAAAGGTCTATTGAAAGGCTGACATTGGAGAAGGAGGAGGGGCTGTGGGGTCCATTCCTCCTCTCCAAGGAGGTAGGAGAATGGGAAAGCAAGCCTAGAGCAGTTCTCTATTCACTAGGAAACTCTATAGCACCTCTCTGTGGTAAACACAAGTCTTGAGTTATATTCAGGAGCCATCCTGGAAATGTCTGTGTTCTGAGGAGTTATATGGACTCACCCTCTCTACCCCCGTCTGACCTTTAATGCAGACAAGCCATGGCTCCCTTGCTTGCCCAAAATCAGACTGTACTGGCCATCTTCAGAGTTGGGGATCAAAGCCTAGACTTGGTCCAGGAAATAGTGACTTAGTGCTTCCCTTGGACTCTGGAATTGTGAGAGTCAGGCTGTAAGCGGAAGTGGCGGTGGTGTTTCCATAATGCCACATATGTTTTTGTTCCTTTTTAGGGAATGGAATCTCAACCTTTTCTCAACATGAAATTTGAAACGGATTACTTTGTAAAGATTGTCCCTTTCCCTTCCATCAAAAATGAAAGCAATTATCACCCCTTCTTCTTCAGGACCAGAGGTGAGTGTAGATTTTCCTGCCTAGTAGTTGTGAGGAGTTTCAATGATTTCTTAGAACAAAGTTGTTCTAGAGCCCACCAGATATTGGTATGAAACAGCAGACAAGAAGAAAAGCATTTAGAAAAGAAATATAGAAATGTATTTTTGCCAGACACTGGTGGCTTCCACCTGTAATCCTAGCTACTCAGGAGGCTGAGATCTGAGGGTCACAGTTTGAAGCCAGCCCAGGCA